GTTGTTGGGAATTCGGTGGCGATTGGCTGTCTTTACCGCAACTGTAGTATTTAATGTTCAGCCCGAGATTATGAGATCTGATGAAGTGTTGACCTATAGCATCAGCCTTCTGTTCAGGGGTTATCAGATCGACGACTGAATCATTAGGTTGATTCAACGGCACAAGTGGTAGAATGGGTCTTGTTTTTTTTTATTTTAGGATTTTGGTCAGCTTCCAGAAGGGTTTAGCATAATCTGGGAGAGAGCTGTTACTGAAGTCCTCATTTCTGAGGTCCACCATCCTGGTTTGGATTATTTTTGTTAGACGGTTGCAATGGGTCTTCAAGGCAGGCAGTCCAGTACGTTAGTACGGCCTACGCATGGTGTTACGGAGTCTGATAAAGTTTTTAGAGGGACTATCAAGGTTCAGAGTATTTCTCACCTGTCCGGATACTGGCACGTGATGTTCCCTGGCTCGCGATATCACCTCTTCTAAGAAACGCAGTCAACGTCTTCGGGGGCGTCCGGATGTACTTCGTAGTTAACGGCGGTGTCGACACAGTGCTGGAACCGATCCCATTCAACACGATGATAGTTTCACCGGAATGCTTGAAAACTGTTAGCCGAGAAGCCTACTTCGGCCACCACCGGGTAGTGGTCCGAGCTCAGCTCCTGAAAGGTCACAGGTTGCGAGATGTTGTGTCCCATGTTGCTGACGAAGATGTCGATGGTCGCATGAACACCAGACCGACTCAACCGGGTGGGAGTGTCCGGGGCCAAGATGGTATAATGGCCTTTTTGCAGGTCTTCATTCAGGATGGTGCCGTTTCGATTGCTCCGACCGTTGCCCCAAGCTTGGTGTTTTGCGTTCAGCGATGATAAATTTCCCGCACCTCCGGGTGAGTTTGATGATGTCTTTCCGGAGGGCCACTGACGACCCGTCCCTGATGTTGGTTTGCTTAGGGCAGTAGGCCACGATGATGGTTATTGGCCCAAGTGATGTGCTCACCTCCACTCCGATGGCTTCGACTGTTTTCATCTGGAAGTTTGGTAGCAGCCGATGGCTACTCCCCCACCCCCGAAGCAGGTGTGGTCACGTCTGACGAGCCGGAAGTCTGGAAGGAATACGTTCAGTTCGGGCTTCAAGTGCGTCTCGGTGATGATAGCAATGTCGACCTCGTTGGTATTGAGAAATCGAGTAGCTCTCTATGCTTGTTCGTCAGCGAGCAAGCGCTCCAAATTGCTATTTTTATAGCTTCACGGTCCATACTTGGTGACGAGAGATAAGACAGCATGAAGCTGTTCAGATCGAGTCTTGCAGGTGTGCAGGATGACGATCACCTTTGCAACCAGCGTAACTAATTCCTCCGATGTAAGCGGAGATTCGTCAACTGAATCAACTGAGGCAACACGGGCATACGAAAGTCCAGGCGCCGAGGCAGAAGCTTGATTTGGCAAAGCTGCAGCAGCAGTGAGGCGATGCTGAGCTGAGGGGCAGCTTGTTGATTGTTGAGGGTGAGATTTTGGACCAGGTGACGAGGCTGGATTGCTGGATTACTTTTGTTTCGATGCCGGCCTGGTTGGTTGCTAGTAGTCACCTTCTTCCTGATGTTGATGTATTCCGTTCGCTTGGGGCAGTACCGGGTAGTGGAAAGGTGAGTACCGCCGCAATTCACGCACGGCTCGGTGTAATCAGCTTGAGCATAGGTCGCCGTCGAGTGGGCCATAGCACACTTGTCGCAGCGTGATTTCATATGACAGTTCTTTGTGCAATGGCCGAAGGAGAGGCAACTTGTGCATTGGGTCACATCACGGTGTTGTGGTTTGTAGGATTTCCAGTAGAAACAGGTCACGTATGTTGCTCTTCAGCGCAGCAAAGGTGGTGGAGCCCTTCGTGAAGTGGACCAGAAACAGTTGGTCACAATAGTTAGTATTGGGCATAGGCCGTCGACTAATTGGGTGGACTGCCTCTGGTTTCAATCCAAGCCTCACCAGTTCATTGTTTACGGCAACCGTTTCATACGACGGCAGTCCTTGTAAAACAACCTTCAATGGTTTCACCGAAGGCAAATCGTGGGTGTAAAGCTCGACCGTACTGTTTTTCAGTAGGTCACCAACCGACTTGTACTGCTGTAGGCTGACGCACATGATCTTTGTTCCTACGCTTCATATCTAGAATCGCGGGAACAATTTGAGTTTTGCCACCTCATCCCTAAGCTTGGCGACGCATGTATAACTTTTCCACGTTTTGGTTTAGTTAAACGGGACCCACCCCATCACTGGTTATGAAGAGGATCACGCCTTTATCCGCTGACTTGCTCCTGCTTGCTGCAGGACCAAATTTCACGCCGTCCGAAGCAGTAATGATCATAGGCACGACAGCAGTGCTGTTTTATATCTTTTCAGGTTTTTTTTTTCCTCTGTTATGTCCCACACCACTGCGACCAGTAATTTGATCTATTGTAGTATATCCCGTGTCCTTAGTTTAGTGCATGTCGTATTACTCCATCACTATTGAGAAATGATGAAGTATTCAGTTTTGATACAGTTGTCATTCTTGCCTTCATCGCACGGAATCGATTCTAACTGAAAGGTTCCGCTATTTATATTCTTCGGAGTGTTGAAACACCCTCCAAAGGCGCGCCCCTTTGTCAGTCAAAATTGGATTCCTTAACAACAAAAACAAGCTATGAAACCGATAATGACCAATCTTTTCAGGTTCAAACAGAATGATGTGCAACCAAGTGGTACAAGATTATGACGACTGGGTTTGGGGAAAACGTTTAATTCATGAAAACAGAGATAAAATTACCATTTGTACATTTTTCAAATGTTTTGAAAAAAAAATATTTATTTCAGCAGATTTGTAATGTAATATCCTATCGATTGGCGTGTTTGAAACACTATTTCATCACGCATATTTTTTGATTTGCACCCCACTATAGTCGACAAAGACGTAGTTCTACGTCAAAAAATGCTGAAGACCCCCCTACCACCTCCCCCCCCCCCCCCAGTAAAATTTGTAACATTTTGAAGTTTGTTGAATGTTTCATCATTTTTGGAGGGCTTTATTTGAGAGGTGAAAATGTTTTCTTAAGGGGGGTATACACTAAGATATTTTTTTAAATGTTTTATTAAAATCTATGGAAACATTGTACATGAAGTCATTTTAAGAAACTTTGTGCAAGACGACAATTTTCTATATCTCAAGTAGACGAAGTTAGAGGGTGAAAACGGGGTTCAAACGGTATTACCCCCTTAAAACAGTGTTTTACCAATTCAGAAAACACCGGTCAGATCGGCATTTTCAGGGTTAGAGTTTTTCAACACTTCATCAGTTTTGTACCTATGGAATGCCTTACTATTTTTTGTAGAACATCATTGTTATGCGTAACTCTACCGAGTCCTCCTTTAAACAAAGTGTAACAAATGTAAACCCTCTCCTACACTTCCCCTCCCCCTATTGCGTTACGTAACTTTCGACCAAACCCTAAAATGAAAATGTTAGAAACTTTCAATAGCGCAAACACAATAATTTATTATTTCGAACCATTTAGTGAAGCCTCCTGTGAAGAGCTTTGGGGAAGGTTATTCTTTTCCTTTTAATTCCGTTATAATTGCTTATCTTTTGGTACGCATATTTCGTCCACTGTTTGTAGGCGTCCCCAGTGCCAACTGCTGTATTTGGCCGACAAAAAACTGACTGCCCATTTCTGGGTATTAATCTACGGCAAAAGTATTTCTGAACGACAAATCCATTTCACGAGAAAATACAACTCGTTTAAGCTAGAATCAGTACCAGGACTCAATCCCGTGTCGGATATTGATACCCATTAAGATAAACTTCCGCTCTATTTACGAAACCGGAAGGCCGAAAAGCCCCACCTTACGTCACTGCCATCGTCTAAATATGTCGACAACGACCGACATGCGCAACAGCTGTATCGTTATCCCTGGAACTGTACTACGGTTTTCCGCCTGCAGAATGGAGAAGGCGGTGGTAAGGAACGATGACACTATTTACTGTCCATACCAGCAGAGCACTGGCCCGGCTACCAACGATGTGATGTATCGAGGTTTGATAAATGTAGCCCTCACAAGTGGCTATTTATTATCGATATGTTGCGAGTCGCAAGAGGTAATCCATCTTTCAAAAGCAACAGGCTGTAAATTGTGCTCCCCCATTTAACCCTGTAGGCCACCCGAGGGAGGCAGTTTGCAGCGTAATAAATAAAGCAGTCGTCGTCTGATAGCAGAGTGACCCCCCCCCCCCCACAGATCAGGAATGACAAATGCATCGCGTTTCATAACTCTCTTCCGGAGATGACTTTATTTAATCCTTTTCAGCCAGAGCGAGGGGGAAATGCCCTAATTGGTTCATTCGTTACCACTTTACCTGAAGTTTGCCGCTTTGTGAAAATCGGCGGAAGGGAAGTGAAAATAGGGCAAAAACTTTTTGTAAGCAAATTGTCGCAATCTGCCGCTCATCATTAGTCGGTCTCGTGAGGTAATTACACACCGCGTCCTGCACCGATTTTCGGCTCCTCGTCGACAACGAGCGGAAATAGCAGCCAGCAGGAAACTTTTGTCCTGAAAATCATCTTCCTGCTGATTCCAGGTGTATGAATGGACGCAATTATAACTTTATCTGTCTGGGGCACGATTTCTACCGATTTTGCGATGGCCAACGCTAGGATTGGTGGAGGAAGGGGTAACGAAGCTCGCTCATTCAATCAATGTAAGTAGTTGAGAAAAGAGTTCGAAAGTAGAACTCTTCAAACTAAAATGAATGACAGTTGGGTTGATACAATGGGATGAATGGGACGTTATGGTACACATAAAAAGTGCAGTATAAAATTTGGTGGAATGTGAAAACTGATCGTTTGGAAAACTTCCCACCATTACATAAATCAGACTGACAAGGGTATTGTAATTTGTAATTTTGGACCATACACTTATTCAGCCATTCCAGCAAGACGATAAAGTGGTTCGCAGAATTTTCGAAATTTGTTCGGGTATAGGAAGTATGGCGGATGATAAAGGTTCCGCTTAGAATTGCTAGTCCTGTGAACGGGTGGACTCGGCGGAATGCGCGATGGGCCAGTGCAACCGATGCAAGCTATGGGAGCACTTTGGCTGTGCTGGTGTCGATGAGTCAGCAGCCGGGCACCACATACGTTTTTAAGCGATGCTTCAAGCAGGGAAAACCCAATGACGATCGCCTGAAAGTGCCAGTTGAAGAAACACGTCCACTGAAGGGGTCAAAAGCGGGCTCAAAGGGAGGATCACGGGAGGGAAAGAAAAGCCCTGAACCTTCGGAAATCGTAAGTTCCATCATGCGGGCTGCACTGCTGACGGAACAACTGAAACTTGTCGAACAACAGCAGCTGATGGAATGGAAGAACAAGCGTTGCAAGAAGAAGAGCGCATCAAGAAGCAGCTACTGGAGGAAGAAGAACGCCAGTAGCTCACCGAGGAAGCAAAACGTATCCGTGAGCGTAAACTGCAGGAGGAATTGGAATCGAAACGTAAACCACAGCAAGTGAGGAGAGAATCTCTAGAGAATTTTCAAGTAATTCTTCGACAGCTGGCGGATGGATAATCGGTGTAGATGGATCGGTTGTAAGTTACGATCAAAAGGTAAAGGATTGGCTAGATAGCCGCTGGAAGATCAGACGGAAGTCATAATGGAAAATCGTACACTCCCCCATTTGAATCAGGTTCCCAAAGACTCAGCAAATGACCCTGTTTCTCCACTACCACCAATGCCACAGAATTAGGTAGATCAAAGGCCATTCCTAAATGCGCCTGTCCAGATGGAATTTCCAGCTCCATTATTGCAACCACCAGGCCCGTTATTCACTTCATACGAGATTCCGGTTCATGTGTTGACGCAATCTACACCAGCTGTTCCCGCTTATCCCGCTCAAGCATCTATGCAGCAGAATCATATCCGTGCAATGCCGTCTAGACCAGCTACATTCGAGTAGATTTTTTGGTTCAGTTGCCACCCGACCCACTTTCAGTTCCCGTTTCCTCCGTTCGCACACTATCGCAGGTGCAAATTGCAGCACGACAGGTTTTAGGAAAAGACCTACCATTATTTAGTGGAAACCCGGGGATTGGCTCATTTTCTTCAGCAACTATGAACAGTCTACTGCTACCAACTGGTTACTCGGATGCGGAAAATTTGGTTCGCCTTCAGCGATGCTTGGAGGGAAACGCCCTGGAGTCGGTGAAAAGTTGACTACTTTTGCAAGCAAGTGTACCACACGTTATCCAGACCCAGCTTACTCTGTTTGGAAGACCGGAGCTTCTCATTAAATCGCTGCTGATCAAAATACACCATATCCCTCCACCAAGACACGATCGCCTAGAGACCATCATGCACTTTGGCCTAGCAATGCAAAATCTGGTGGATCACCTCAAAGCAGGGCAGCAGTCAAACCACTTTGCATATCCGGTTCTTATGCAAGAATTGGTGGAGAAACTGAGACTGGCTCGTTGCGACTCTATTGGGCAATGTACAAGAACCAACACCCGCTTGCGACTCTCAACACTTTCGGTGAGTTCATGTCGGGGTTGGTAACAGCAGCGAGCGAAGTTTCCTTCAACCTCCCAGGACTTCAGCATGCCGACAGAAACCCGCAGCAGTAGTGGAAACACGGGTATTCTACAAGCTCACTCCACGGATCAAACATCAAATCCCACGTCCAGTAGTATTACCAGTAACACGAAACCTGCCAACCAAGCAATGTCTATCGTGTGGTCGAGTCGGTCACCAAGTGTTCGAATGCCAGCAATTCAACGGTGGCAGCGTGGATGAACGTTGGAAGGGCTCTGCAGAACGTGCCTGAACAGTCACGGCAAATGGCCTTGTAGGTCTTGGAATTGTTGTGGTATCAACGGGTGTCGTCAACGGCACCATACTCTACGGCAGTCCGTCACTCCTCCCGAGAGAGTAAATCCAACATCTAGCCATGTCACGTCAGGTAATTTTCAGTGGTCACTTTTCCCTATTCTTCCCGTTATTGTAACAAAACTACCAATTTTAACGAAATTCTGAGAACCACTATATCGTTCTGCTATGGAATGGCTGTATACTTGGACGTGCAATTACCTGTGCAATACGCAAAGTGGGTTGCTCTGCCTGGCTAGTTGGTTGATGCAGGTTTCGACGACGAAAGTAAAGCGATTTGAGCACGACTTCTTTAGACGAGGTTAAGCTTCACGATTTTCCGACCAGTTTGCTGGTGGAAAATTGTCTTCCTTAATGATGACGATGATACCGACATCAATGGCGACAGCTGGAGTGCAACTCTTGGATGCACGTGACCACATTTTTGCACACGTTTTCGGGTCAATTCCCAGTGATTCAAGTGATTATCAGCTGTCTCCTTCCAATTCAAAACAGGAACCGCTTGATGACTACTTCCAACTAAGAAGTGCTCTGGGGTCAAGACGTCAAGGTCTGTGGGATCCTCCGAAATCGATGTGAGGGGACGAGAGTTAAAACATATCGCGACTTGTGCCAATGTGGTCAGAAGATCCTATAGAAGCTATATTGGCACGTGAAGGCCCTGGCCAAGTTGGATGAACCTGTCGAGCATTGAGACACCCCGTCGTAAACATCCTGTCCTACAAGCTAAATCCAGCTACTCTTCGTGCGTGCGAAGAAAAGACCAGCCAGCAAGACGACGTCAAGTACAACGACCTTGTTGAATTCCTGTACCAGCGTGTACGAATCCTGAAATCCGTAGCATCCGATCTACTGCAACGCTCCCAGCTGGTTCAAGCAAAGGTGGCAGGCAACTTTCCTCCTATAAAGAAGTACACTCAACCCAAGGTCGCTGCCAACGCTGCTGCATCTTATAGCAGGCCAAACTTGCCTTCTTGTTTCGCTTGAATAGAACGACACTTCTTCTTCCAGTGTCAAGCTTTCGCCAAATTGCCCGTCAGCCAGAGGAGAGAGCTGGATCCCAACGAAAACTGTATTGGAATTGCTTCCGAACTGGTCATCAAGCCAGAAACTGCTCCTCGAAGTTCTCCTACCGAAACTGTCGAGAACGGCACCATACGTTGCTGCATGATTCATCCCAGTCTGGTAAGAGTTCGTCCACCCCCGCCGTGATGACAAATTCCCATGAAACGGCGTAAGTTCATCCCATGTTGACTGCCCCAGGACCGTCTACCTCATTCCAACAAATAAGCATGTCGGTTCAGTCCCACGCTAGCACGGTTCTCCTTGAAACAGTCGTTCTCCAAATCGTCGACGATCACGGACATGTTTTCTACTGGATTCCACTTCCATGTCGCATTTCATGTCTAAGGATCTTGCGAATCTGCTCTCCAGCTCCCAATCCAAGGTTGATGTGTCCGTAGCTGGAATCGGACAATCCCACCGGAAGATCAAGCGTGCAGTAGTCACCACAATCCAGTCAAGAGTCAGATCATTCTCTACGAAACTCCAATTCCTCGTGATCGAGCATCCCACTGCTGATCTACGCATCATGTACGTGCAGATTACTTCATGGAACCTTCCGAACGTGTAGTTAGCTGATCTTGAGTTCCACATTCCCAACAAGATCGACTTAGTCATCGGTGGTGAAGTGTATTGGGACCAACATACCGGTAAGAAGCTCTATCTAGGTCCAGGCCTACCCCACATTATCTAGACATACTTTGGTTAGAATTCTGTGGTTCAACTTCTCAAGATTCCTCTAACACGATGGTAATGTCTAGCACTGATGATGCACTTCTGGATGCCACTCTCCAAAGGTTTTGGGAGATTGAGACGATTCCGAACCAAATCGTTCATTCCGCTACCGAGAAGGCCTGTGGAGAACTCTACGTGACAACCACAACCCGAGATCCTACGGGGCGATACGTAGTTTGTCTACCAAAAACGGACAATCCGGAAGTCGTTTCGGGAGATTCGGAATCCATTGCCGAACGCCAATTCCTCAGCATGGAACGCCGACTCGAGCGTGATCCCAGCACTAAATCCTCTTACAACCAATTCATGGAGGAATATTAGCGTCTCGGACACATGGTACGGCTCGACGAACCTGTGGACAACACGATGCCGCACTGCAACCTTCCGCATCATCCCGTGTTCAAACTCTCGAGTACCACTACCAAGACGAGAGTAGTGTTTGATGCATTGTGTAAGACAGGATCGGGCTATTCTTTGAACGACCTACTTCTTGTCGGACCAGTCGTTCAAGATGATTTACTGTCGCTCGTCATGCGGTTTTGCTTCTACCCCATTCCACTCAACGGTGACGTCGAGAAGATGTACCGTCAGATGCTTCTCCACAAGGCAGACCGACCGTACCACAGGATCAAACGGCGCAAGGATGCATCCGAATCGATAGCTACCTACGATTTGCAGATCGTGACCTACGGCACTGCTTCTGCCCCGTATCTTGCCACCAAAACTCTCCAAAAATTGGCTAATTATGCAGGTCACTTATTCCCTGCCGCTGCGGAACCAGTGCGGAACTTCTACGTCGATGACTTTTTGTCAGGTGTCGATGATGTCGAGTCAGCCATCCAAATTCGACGTGAAGTATCAGCGATGCTCGATTCTGCTGGAATCCCAATGAAGAAGTGGGCTTCGAACTCCATCGGCACGACCTGCAAGATCTTTAATCCGTCAGCACTCTCGGTCTAATCTGGGAACCCGGGACTGACATGTTTCGGTTCAAGGTACAGTTACCCGTTCCGGCTGCTGTTCTCACCAAGCGTAGGATCATGTCCTACGTGGCTCAAATCTTCGATCCGTTGGGACTTGTGGGTCCCGCTGTTATGAAAGCGAAGCTCTTCATGCAGTGTTGCTGGGCGTTGAAATCCTCTGACAACGAACGCTATGATTGGGACCAACCTTTGCCTCCAAAACTGCAGCAAGAGTGGAAAGAGGTCCACACTGGTCTCCAAGTCCAAGGTTTCGCCCCTAGTAGGACGCCTTACGATAGCCCGACTGGAGCTATGCGCAGCTCATCGTTCCACGCAGTTGTACAAGAAAGTCGCTTCATCGTTGAAAACGGTTCCACCGGCCTTCTTCTGGTCGGACTCGACCACCATGATACAGTGGCTCCGATCATCACCTGGACGTTGGAAAACCTTTGTAGCCAACCGTGTGAGCCAAATCCAATCTGCTACCCCAGTCGATGAGTGGAATCACGTAGCTGGTTCTGACAATCCCGCTGACGACATCTCCAGAGGATTAGATCTAACTGAACTTCTCCCCAAGGCAAGGTGTTGGGATGGTCCATCCTGGTTAAAGGTTCCACCTGAACTTTGGCCTGCAGGAGCGCTACCAACGAAAGAAACAACAGAAGTGTCTCAAGAATGCCACAAGCACATTCCACGAAGATTTGTTCTCCAAATACTCCAGCTTTTCCAAACTTCGCCGTATGGTCGCATGGTGGTTGCGATTTCTTCAAGCTCTTCGAGACCGTGCAATTCTTCGTCGTTCGAATGCAATCAATCCAGGTGCGCCCAAAAGGTCAACTGAGTCACTCAACTCCGACGAACTCCACTCGGCTGACCGAGTCCTCTGTCGACTAGCGCAGCTGAATAGCTTCCAAGAAGAGCAAAACGATCTTGTCGCTCGCACAAACGTAACGAAATCGAGTTCGTTGAAGTGGTTGAAGCCCTACGTTGATGAATTCGGATTGATCCGCGTCGAAGGACGCCTCGACAATGCCAAACTACCTGAGTTTAAAAAACACCCTATCATCCTAAGCGCCAAACATTCGTTAGCCGCAATTGATGTTGGCTACCCTCCGCCAGAAATTTTGGATTCTGGGCGAACGAAACCTCGTCAGACGCACGTACCGTGCCGATTCAAATTTCGGACACTTAAACTCGAATTTCGGACACTTTTAAAAGTTGATTATCTCGGTCGAATATGATCCACATGTCTTGTAAATTTTAATTTTTTTTTTTTGACTAGTGCCCTCCACGATCATCTAACATTATTACTTTGTTTCTAACTGGATGTAATATTTAATTAAAAATGAAAGTGTCCGAAATTTGAATCGTCCGAAATTTGAATCGGAACGGTACCATCAATGCATATCTTGCTTCCGTAGCAAGCCGAAATTGATTCAGCAAACAGTAGCAGATCTACCAGCATCCCGTGGCAGTCCGGAAGCGAGGTCCAACGAAGGTGTATGTGGCAATTTTCATCTGCTTTTCCACATGGTCCGTCCACATTGAGCTTGTGAGCGATCTTACGTCTGCCGCATTCGTCACCGCACTGCGTCGCTTAATAGCTCGAAGGAGGAAGATTACCGAGCTGCATTCCACAACCTTCAAAGGAGCTTCACATGCCTTGCAGCAAATGTACCAAATGCTGAAGCAGGACGCCCCTGATCGAAATCATATCCTTTCCTGGTGCGCAAACCACGAGATCCGGTGGAAGTTCATTTCGCCACGTGCACCTCATTTCGGAGAGGCTGCGGTGAAGTCCGCTAAGACCCACCTCCTTAAGGAAATTGGCAATACGAATCTTGCCTACGAGGACATGCTTACCTTACTAGCGCAGGTTGAGATGTGCCTCAATTTGCAACCATTAACGCCCCTGTCCTCAGAACCATCGGACCTGGAAGCCCTGACCCCTGGTCATTTCCTGGTAGGTTCCAACCTCCAATCCGTTCCCGAAGCAACATTGGTCAACATTCCCGAAAACCGGCTCAACCATTGGGAACAAACTCAGCGCCATCTCCACCGAATCTGGGCACGTTGGTACCCGGAATACCTCTAGCAGCTGCAATCTAGGGCTGTTCAAGGCTGCAAATCACCTAGTAAAATCGAGATCTGGCTCGAGGCTCATGTCAGTAGAAACCAGGTCAACGCACTCAATCTATCTACTGCATCGCCGCTGTTAAGATCAACCGATTGAACAGAGAGTCAAGTAAACAATCCTCTCAGGCGACGCAGATACCACTAGCAAGAGAAGATGCACTATTCAAGTGATTGAGTGAACTAGTATTAGTGTTGAAATGATAGGTCTATTTCAAAGATGACCGGAATGTTGAGGCCTTACCGTAAACCTAAATCTAAATTATATATATTTAAGTCAAAGATTGCCAAACCTTCCCTAAGGTTACGGCTTATTTACTATTCCTAATAGAGAGAGTAATAACGAATACCATTGTACAAACACCAGTATTACACTTGATCACCCAATCGATGAGAGGTCAGTGGTCAATAGAGTGATGCAAAATTTGAAATTTTCGCTCCACAATACTTAAACGATTCCAAATCGGATCCTGACTAATCTCTCAAAATTTGAACCCATTTGGTGAGAAACTGAGATGGCACAAACCATTCGAAGTTTGTATGGGAATTACTATGGCAAAACCAAGATTTGTGTTCATGTTTATCTAATAATTCACCATATCGGTCTGCTTCAAAAGCTTTCAATTGTACTTGTAGGGAATTTTTCCAGCTACAACTTTGCTGAAGACCACTTTTTGATTAAATGAAAGGATCGAAAGTTATCAATGGTTCGATGCGCTGATGTCTTATGATCATGCTCAATCAACTGCTCAGCAGGCAACATTGGTGTTTCTGGCGCGTTGAATAGGACACAAAAATCATGGCTACTATGTCACACTGCAAATTACAGTGTTGCCTACAGAGCAGCTGCTTGATCATGTCATAAGTTTATCAATCTCTTAAATAATTAATAACTTTTTCCTGTCTCGTTTTACATAGAAACAATCTTCAGCAAAGTTGTAGCTGAGAAAATTTTCTATAAGAATGGCTATCGAATTATTTCGCAGCTTAATATGGAAAAAGACTAGAAGGCAATGAACAAAAAATGAGATTTTCCATAGTAATTTACATGTAAACTTCAAATGGGTTGACTTCTTTCTAACCGAATGAGTTGTAACTTTGGGAGGCTAATCAGGACCTGACTTGACACCATTTAAGCACTGTGGAGCGAAAAAGTCAAATGTTGCATCAGTATTGGTCAACCGATCAAAACAATCAGTCCAAACTCAACTCACAGCGTGAATACACGGTCGATTGTGCACGACAAAACGAAACACAAATTTCCTTGATCCAAGGTCCCAAAGTGGGTTTTTAATGCTTGTCCGCGACTTTAGTGCAAAGTGGGAAAGCAGAAGATTATGTAATTCCTCCAACGGTGAGCGATCGATATGTGCGCTAGTCTTGCGCTCTAGTGAAAAAGCGAAGATAGCAAAAATAAGTGCAAGTTAGTGTAGCCTCTCTAGTGGCCCTTTTGGCAGCCGTTTCGTGACTTGCTCGATTGGTTCCGCTATTTGACAGCTCAATTGGTTCCCGAGATTATATCCACCAGACTATGAATATAACGACTATAGTTAAAAGACAACAGGTGAATACCTAAGAGAAGAGGGGGGCGAAAACGACCCACTTTTCTGTTAAACGCGAACCAGCTCGTGATTGGCTGATTTGTAGTGCGTAAGATAGAGATAAAAATGCATATAGATAGAGATAGAGATAGAGATAAAAGGGTAAGATGCCAGTTGTCTCCTCTTCCTCTTAAGATAATACGAAAACATCTCCAAGGGATAATCCATCAACGGAGTAATTAGTGCTTTACTACTTTTTCCCTCGCACATCAGTCAGAAGTCAGAAATATAATTTCGTTTATCAACTAATCACAGATTTTTGTGACTGATTTTGAGTAACCCAAAAAGTGGTTCTCAAGTTAAAAAAAATATCAATCTCTCAAAATAATACGTTCTTTAGGAATGGTTCTATAGTCTATTGAATGTATTGTTATGCATCGTAATATTGAATGGAAGAACCGTGCATCAATCAAAGATCATGCTATCTCCGAATGCATAACGAAGCTCTATATTTACGGTTTCACCGAGCCCATCCCGAAGCTCAAAATGTTGTTAGGTGAGCAGAGCCGATTTAATTCACGTCTCACTCAAGAACGAACCCCGCATCACTCATCGTGATGAGTGTTTGTGGAAGTCCAGCTTGAGCATCAATCTGAGCTCGAGCTCTTTTGAGCTCTTTGGATTTGACATCATTTCTCTTTATATGTGAGGGATGAACTAGCTCACGATGAATGAGCATCTAAATGGAATAATCTGAGTTCGAGGAGTTTAGGCAAGCCTCGACTCGAAAACAAGATCGACGGAAAACAAAATCAAGGAATAAATCACAATAGATCAAAGTAATGGTCGCAGTGATGAATATACCCAAAACGGAATAAAAATAATTGGTCATAAAACTGTCTCGGTGAAGGTGACTAAAACCTATCAAAAACTGTATACAGCCTATTTTTGAATCCTTTCCTATCTTGATTGAGGCTTTTTAAAGTAGATTTAGCAAGATGCTACAACATAGGAAAACTAATGTAAATTGAGGTGCTCTGAGATTGACACAAGAGCGTCAATTTAGAAATTAATTTAAGCCATAACAGACATGAAATTCACCTGAATCAAACGTACTTTTCATTAAGTAACGAATTTTTCAGTCTCGGAGCACTTAATTTTACATGACATGATTGTTTACGTCTCATCCTTAATGTCAAAGGTGTCTCGTGTAAAATTTGTTATTTTTAAGTGTGTCAAGAAAATGGCTCAAAAATGGTTTGTATTGATTCTTTAATATAGTCTTGGGACATTCGTAGCTTGTCCAGCCCTATACAGTCCATGTAATTATTATTAAGTCGAGGGTAAATTGACCACTGGCTGATTTTTTGGAATAATTTTACTCCAATCTGCAATTCAAAGAAATAACAAACTAAATTCCACTCTATTATAGAGTCAATCAGATAAATACAACAGGTTGAACCATCTGTTCGAAGCCCGTAAACCTGCACAAAGGAAGATATGAAAGCTTATTCTTCTCGCTTTTTCTGCCAGCCCCCTCTCCGACATCGAAATTTCATCTGTCTGTCTGCCGCAGCAGCAACGGGGATCACCCGCTGTTTTCTCATCCCAGCAATGGCGGTGCCAAATTGGCGAGCAAATAAGCCTTTATGACACGCTGATTTTGCAATTTTGATAGCTTCCCCATCGGATCGTTTTCCTTTTTCCTGCCAACGACCGGCGATGATGACGACGATAGGCGTTGGGCTTTCGAGCGAAGAAAATGAATTTATCCTCCACTTCCGAAACCGGAAAGTTTGGTTCGATCGGCGGTGGTGGTGGTAGTGTTGAAATGAAAGCATCATCATCGGAAGCATTGAAGGCACTACCGTTTAGGGCAAATTGGCCCATTTTCGACCAGCTTGTAGCGGTTTTGATTATTATTTGAGCAATGTCAGACTGACAGACAGAACAGACAGACAGACAGAACAGACAGAACAGACAGAACAGCCAGAACAGACAGAACAGACAGAACAGACAGAACAGACAGAACAGACAGAACAGACAGAACAGACAGAACAGCCAGAACAGACAGAACAGACAGAACAGACAGAACAGACAGAACAGACAGAACAGACAGAACAGCCAGAACAGCCAGAACAGCCAGAACAGACATAACAGCCAGAACAGCCAGAACAGGCAGAACAGCCAGAACAGCCAGAACAGCCAGAACAGACAGAACAGACAGAACACACAGAACAGACAGAACAGACAGAACAGACAGAACAGACAGAACAGACAGAACAGCCAGAACAGACAGAACAGACAGAACAGACAGAACAGACAGAGCAGCCAGAACAGCCAGAAAATCCAGAACAGCCAGAACAGACAGGTTTCTTTCGTCTTTGAACTATGATCGGAAAATTCCGGAAGAAAACTCCGGGGAATTTTTGAATTAGCTTCTGAATGGAACTGAAAAACATCCAGAGAAAGACGAAAGAAGCTCTCCTGGATGAAGTTCGAGAGAATCAGAAAAACCTCCGGGAAACTTCCAAGACACGAATTGACAAACTTGCGGCGAAAATTTAAATAAGCTATCGGAAAAACTCTGATGTCACATCCAAAGGAAGCCAGAAAAGTTTCGAAAACCGGAAGTAAATTTCCAGAAGTAGCCATTTCCAGGAAAAGCCAGAAGAAGCACGGAAAAACCTTCCAATAGAAGTCGAACAAAAAAACTTTTGGTTTATGGTTAAACTTCCAGAAGAAGATGAAAGAAATTTCTGGGAGAAGTTGAATTGAACTTCCGGGAGAAGACGAAAGAAACATCCTAAGGTAGATTGGAAGAAACATCTGAAGAAAGTCGGAAGTCAGAACGCTTACGGAACAGTCAACAGAAACATAGACATAATTCCGAATGAAAGAGATTCCTGGGGGATGTTCTAATGATCCAGAAAATTTTCCTGATATTCAGAAAACATCCCTGAAGACTCTGAAATTTCCCTGAAGTTTTCGGGACATTCCTGAAATGCAGGAATGAAATATTCCATAACTCCTCGAAATCCCTTAAAAGTTCTTGTAATTTTCCTGAAATTAGGAGCTGTTTTGGAGTTATCTGGGTATCCTCGAAGCGCTCGGAACTTCCCTGATTATAATGAGACTACCGGAATATCTCTAATCATCTTAGAAGGTCTTTGAACCTTCTTGAGGATTACGAAGTCTCTTAAAAGTTCTTACAATTTTCTTGAATTTATTGCAACATCAACATTGAAGTTCACTGATCTTCCCGATTTGTTTAATTTTTAAAAGTTATCGACTCTGCCATTAAAATGATTTCACAATGTTCTAATGTTCATGAAATTTCCCTTACGTTTCAAAAATTTGCATGAGCCCCTCAGGACATTGCTGAAGTTTTCGGAAATTCAAGAATCATTCAAGCGAAGGC